CCGCCGCATGCGAGGGGCTGACTCGTGCCTCGGGCGGGTCCCGAGTATGTATCATGTGAATTGCCAGTCCTTTCTTCCTCACTTTTCTGAATTCTCTGATTATTTTTATCAGACAAGGTTCGACATCATTGCAATGTCTAATACGTGGCTTAAACCCCACGTCCCTAACGCGATGGTCGAGCTCTCAGGCTATCGTTTGGTAAGGTATGACAGAGAGGGAAGGGGGGACGGAGGAGTTGGCGCTTTCATTCGTTTTGGCATTGGTGTGTCTGTTCTCGCGTCTTCCCCCATGCTATACTGTGGCCGGTCGGAGTACTTAATTCTGAGATTGTCTAGTAAGAGGTGTAAGCCTTTCTTATTGGCTATAGTTTACCGACCGCCCAAGGTCGGACATCTCTCGGATTTTTGCATTGTGTCACTTGGAGTTTTCTCCCCTCATTCTCGGCGGCTGCAATTATCGGTGATTTTTATATTGACCTAAATCGGTCCTCATTCGACTCCGACTTCCTGCAAAATTTTTGTACAGGTAATCACCTATTCTTAGTCCCCTTCCTAAACACATATCACTCTGCATCCTATAATTCAAGAATAGATCACTGCCTAGTTAGCGATGCTTCTCTTGTTGATTGTTTCAACCAACAACCGCTATCGTTCCTCTCAAATTATGATCTTATAGAGGTCACTCTAAATCTTCGCGTACATCGCTTTCAACCGCACTTTATTACGATCAGAGACTACTCAAGGTTTAATCTTGACTTCTTCCAGCACTCGCTCTCCTTATTAGACTGGACCGCGATCTTATTGGCACCTTCAGTTGATGCAAAAATCACAATTTTCAACAACTATATCGCTAACACTCGTGATGCCTTAATCTCTGCTCGATCTTTCATAGCCAGACGTCCCCCAGCACCCTGGCTCAATAACTCTATTCGACAGCTTATGCGTAAGAGGGACGTAGCTAGACGGGTTTACCAAGCATATCCTTCGCCTGAGAGGCACGAAATGTTCCGGTCATTACGTAACGCAGTTATGCTTCAGATAGATATCGCCAGGAGTGCTTATCTGAGGCATCGGTTTCGGCTCGCCTCCACCCTCGCTCAATTATGGTCTGAGCTGCGATCTTTGGGCTAAATCAAGGTCATCCAACCAGCACCTAGATATTCCTCTTGATCAACTCAACTCATTCTTTGCCACCTCTCATATTTCCTTCTCTTCAGGGTCTCCTCCTCCCTCCCCTTGCTCTAGAGCTCCCTTTTCTATAGATCTTTCTTCTTCCTCTCACCTCTCTCCAAACAGTACCTTAACCCTCCCCTCAATCTCAGATCCTTCGACCTTCTATTTTCTCCATATCACACATGAGATTCTGCAGGCTGCTCTCCGGAAGAGCTCATCTACCTCTTTCGGAACTGACGGAATTAATCGGCGCCTTATATGAGACAGTCTACCCATCACCTTTCCAATCATACTCGATCTCTTCAACTGTTCCCTTAACTCCTCAATCTTCCCCTCTGCCTGGAAACAATCTCACATTGTGCCTCTACCTAAGACCAATACTCCCTCATCTCCTTCTCATTACCGCCCAATATCCTTGCTCTGCTTCCTCTCCAAGGTGCTGGAACGTATCGTATATGATCAATTAGCCAGGCATCTACCGCTCCTCTGATGATCTACTCGATCCTCTCCAAACGGGCTTCTGCTCGGGTAGCAGCACTCAGACTGCTCTCCTTCGACCGAAGATGTTAGGCTTGCGATAGATAGAAGAATAATCACATTGCTGGTCCTATTCGACTTCACGAAGGCCTTCGACTCTGTTCCTCACGATCGCCTTTTACATAAATTGAAATGTTTCCGTCTTTCCGCACCAGTCCTTGATTGGTTCCATTCCTATCTATCAGGACGCTCACAGCGAGTGTGAGGGCCTGACGGCTCCTTTTCATCCTGGACATCAGTAACTGCTGGTGTCCCCTAGGGCTCAGTTATCGGTCCGCTCCTGTTCACCATGTACATAAATGACCTCAGGAACGTAATAACGCATTGCAAGCACATCCTGTATGCCGATGATCTACATTTTCCTCCACACGATATAGCGTCTGCTGTTGAGAGGGCGAGGGCTGACATTGCTGTGATGGAGTGGTGGGTCCTTAGCAATCGCCTTTCATTAAATGTCGGGAAGACTAAGGCGATTCTTCTGGGTTGCGCCAGATACACCAATGCTCTTTCACTAGCGAATATTGATCTCGAGCTGCACGGAGAGTCAATTGAATTGACGGACAGTATCAGGAATCTCGGCCTCAAAATTAGCGGGACTCTAAGCTGGTCAGATCATGTCCAAAGCATTGCAAATCGAGTCAACGGTGTACTCTGGGGACTTAAACGAAACAAAATCTGTCTGTCGGTTCCGTTGCGCACCCAGTTCGTCTCGGTGTTGATATTTCCGATATTCGATTACTGTGCGGCAGTACTAACTGATCTCACCGGTCAGTAAAAACTTCGACTAAAGCGCCTAATGAATGCATGTATACGCTTCATTCTGAATTTGCGGAGAGACGAGCACATCTCTGAGTATTATAATTCCTTAGGATGACTGTCCACGGACAATCGCAGAACCTTTTTAATTGACTGCCTACTCTACTCTATCATCCGACTTAGATCCCCTCCTTACCTCTCCTGTGATTTCCACCCTCAAGTCCGTCTCCGTGACAGTTTGCGGGCCCTCTCCTCGGAACTGGCTGTTCCCTCCTGCCGAACCACAACGCTCCTTTTTAAGTTCAGGGTCAATTTTCTGGAACTCGCTACTCGTTAATCTTAGAAGTGCCAAATCACTTCCTGAATTTAGGCAAGTACTTTTCTGCCACCTATGGGGGGAGGGTCAATTACCCAACTAACCCACTGATCGACTATTTATGGTCCTCAGTTAGATGTGTTCGTCTGTGGATAAATTCAATGCTTAATAGTTTACGCTGTAATACACTTACTTTTTTATAATTTTTAAAATTTTTGTTAATTTTTGCTGCTTTTTAATTAATCCTACATTAATTTCATTTTTATTTTACTTAAAATTATGTGTTCTCTTGATGTTCTAAAAATTTTTGTAGTTTGTGATAGTTTTTATACTCACTGTTATCATGTGTGCTCTTGATGTTCTCAAAATTTTTGTAGTTTGCGACACTTTTTATACTCATTGTTATTTTTTGTTCTCTTTATCTTCTAAAAAATATTGTCAAT